ATGAACACAGTCACATGCCCCACACAGTCAGCATAGAAAAAAAAAAAAGAAGGAAAAAATTTTTTTTACATGTCAGCTCCTTACATAAGAATTAAGCAGTGTGTACACTATCTAATGTCCCCAACGCTTATGTAGTTAGAGATATTGCAAAATACAATTGGTAGTCTCTTTCCCAAGGAAAAATGTAGGAAATAATTGTTTTCCCATAATATACTTTATTCAGTGTGGTACTGATTTTGTGTTTAATCTTCTTAGGTAATATTTCCAAAGCTTGTCTAATACTGAGAAGCATAGAGGAGTTAAAGCATAAACCGGGCATGGTAAGTTTCTTAGTGACTCTTAGTGAAAGCGATATTCCATTTGCATGTCTGTACTTTATGTTCTCTTTCATGTCTTCTTATTTCCTGAGGTGTTGATAATGTCAGAGCAGCATTTAGGATGCTAGCAGTTACTTGTCTGGCATTCATGTCAGTCTGTGCTCTGGTAACCAGATGTGTTACATCTCACTTAGAACCCACATTACCCAGAAAAGGCCGCCTGTCTGTGTCGTTCCAGTTTTAGTATATGTGCTGCAGAAGCAAGCACTAACAGGCAGCCTCATTGTCAGATCTGTGTATGGAATTGTTTTGTTTTGTTAGATCGCTTTTCATGTCATTGCAATTGTTTGGGTTTTCTTGTTGTTTGCTTTTGTTAAAATAACTAAAAGTAGTGGTCAGTAAATTTAGATTTCAGTTCTTTATTCAGATATTAAGCCAGGTTTAATATTAATTTAATATTAAGCCTTAAGGTTTAAGCCAGGAATGTTAGTACAAAGCTTTAGTCTCAGCACTCAGGAGGATCTCTTGGAGTTTAAGGCCAGCCAGGACTACAGAGAGAAAACCTGCCTCAAAGAGCAAGGTTTGTACAGCTGACAACTTTACAGATTTATATACCTGGGGACCATGTCTTTAGTAGTACTCACTGATTCAGGGGTGATAGAACATGCATCTATTGAACAAGGACTATTTCGTTTGTGTTTCTGTCTCTGTCCAGCTTGTTCACAGCTGGATAAGCATGTTCTGTCTTCAAGTTCTTTCTCTTTGTTCATATTTTAAGGCTTGTGCTAGGCTTTTGTGTTGTTATTTGTCTTTATTATTATTTTTAGAATTGTACCATCACATGACTGTAAGCTCTGGCCTTTTGCTATTTAAGGAGTTTATCCATTTCATCTGAACTGTATTGCCATAGAGGCCATGCAAGTATCTTTTTATCTTCTTAATAACTGCAGAATCTCTCACTGATACTGGTTACTTGACATTGTCAGTCTCTGTTGCTGTGATAAAATACTGATCAAAACCACTTTGGGGAGACAAGATTTCATTTATTTGGCTTACAAGTTACAGTAAACCAATAAATCATTGTGGTAAGCCTGGAGTTCGGAACTGAAGCAGAGGCCGTGGAACACCACTTCCTGGCTTGCTCCAGGCTCACAGTCAGCCATATATTTTTATACTGTCCAGGGACTACTTGCCCAGTGATGGCACCACTCACAGTGGGCTGGGTCTGCCCATATCAGTCAACAGTTAAGAAATGCCATACACACATGGCCATAGGCCAATCTGATGGGGTCAATGCCTCAGTTGAGGCTCCCGCTTCCCAAAGTATCAAGATGACATCAAAGATTAGCCATCACATTTGTGTTGTCGCTTTCTGACCAGCATGACCAGACTGTATCAGTTTATCAGTGTTTCTTAAAAATGCAACTTGTTTCTGTTCTTTTACAGCTCCTTTAAGTATTACACAAGTGCATGCTCACACACTCACACACACACACACACACACACACACACACACACACACACACACAGACACAGTGCTGCCCCTCACACTCACTGAGTAGGCTTTAGATGCTTAGAACACATGGGTTTCATTAGAGTTCAGCCATGATGGAGGCTTCCTGGGCACACTCTTGGATATCCAATAAGATAGTTTATGTAACTGTATCCAAATGCTTATTTTTTCATGTTCTGATTGTATCCAACTGCTTTAGAAGAACATCCATTTTATAGATAAATGCATTCTTATTTGGAAAAGACCATATTTTTCTGAGTATTTCTAGAAATTGTGTTCTCTAAAGAAAAAGTTTATGGGTAGTTACGTACTGACAGATGTTCCATTCATCTTTATTTATTCTTCAGCATTTTTAATTTTTTTAAAGATTTATTTTTTATTCATACAGAACTCTTGCCTGTATGTGGGCCTGCATGCCAGAAGAGAACATTTGATCTTATTATAGATGGTTATGAGATAGTTAAGAGCCACCATGTGGTTGCTGGAAATTGAACTCAGGAACTTAAGAAGAAGAGCCAGTGCTCTTAACCTCTGAGCCATCTCTGTAGTCCCCGCATTTTTAATTTTTAAAACCTCTGTTCTGAGAGTGAAGGAAAATTTTGTTCCTTGACTTTGTTCATGTGAACTTTGCTGCACAGGTATCTGCGTTGGTGACCATGTACAGCCATGAGGAGGATATTGACAGTGCCATTGAGGTCTTCACACAGGCTATCCAGTGGTATCAAAGCCATCAGGTAAAGGAATGGAGTAAAGTATTAGAGGGGCATATTTTTCCATAAATAGTAAAATGTTCTGCTGAACTACAAATTTCAGAGAACTGAGTCACTATCTCAAAAAGGGAAGACTACTAGGCTATCAAATTTTTGTAAATTACACCAGGTCCAAATAAAATTGATAAACATAAGGATCATCTGCAAGACAACAAAACAGCTCATTTGTATTTTTAGAAGCTCTTTCATGTATATGGCTGTATGCATCTGTACACACACTTAAGTCATGATTACACTCTTGGTAAGAAGCTAGGGCCTGTGGGTGGCTAGTCATTAGAGAGGAGTGTATGGAATGAGTGTTTCTCTCACCTGGCAGGAGCATCTTCAGTTTTTCCACTCTCTCTGCATGAGTAACATCATCCTACTACCACACATACCTGCATGTTACGTTTACACACTTAGTAACGGCTAGCAGTGGGAGAGCATCAGTGTTCTGGAAGGTACCATGTTGGATGAATGTTTGAGACTGTGCCCTATCTCTTAAAATTTGATTTGAAGAGAATATTGTTTTGTTTGGTTGGGTTGTTTTCTGTTGGTCCTAGACATAGACCATATACCATCCTAGGCAAGTAGACTGCTAGACCTACATTATTTTTGTAGGTGACCACAATAGAAGTAGATTATGTTCTGGTTTCATAAATTGGTTGTTCTTTCACACACTTATTAAAACTTAAGATGAATTTAATGAGCAGGTCTATTTTAAAGAGTAATAAATAGGATTTACCAACTGGCTTGATACTTAGCTTAAAACTTCATTGTTTTGTTTTGTTTTGTTTTGTTTTGTTGAACCTGTAGCCCAAGTCCCCTGCTCACCTGTCCTTGATAAGAGAAGCTGCAAACTTCAAGCTCAAGTATGGACGGAAGAAGGAGGCTATTAGTGACCTAGAACAGCTATGGAAGTAAGCTCTGCAACGCGGTGCAGAAACCTATGTCCCGTTCCTATGTTAGTTCTCCTTTTTTAAACTGCTTATTCACTTTTTATTTCTTCTCTTAGACAGAATTCAAAAGACATTCACACCCTCGCCCAGCTTATCTCCGCTTACTCGCTTGTGGATCCAGAGAAGGCTAAAGCGTATCCTCCATGGCACAGCTCTCCAGAACACCAGAGTTCTATGTTTCACCCACAAGGTTTTCAACTCACAGAGTTGCTTTTACCTGGTGAAAACAAAGTTTAGAGTTATGTATTGGTATGATTGAAAAGTAGTAATGAAGTGGGGAGCAGGTCACATGCCCTTCACAAACAATGCTGATAAAAGTTAGATATGGGGCATTGTGCTGTGTTCCTGCAATCCTAGCACTTGGGAGTCAGGAGCAGGAGAATTAACTCATCCTGGGCTAAACAGTTCAAGACTAAACTGGACTCAAAGAAGAAGAAAATTAAAACTCCAGTTGGTCAGTTTGGGTTCTAAGTGCTACTCTAATCACACCATGTCCCCAGAGCTGAGTTCCATGTCGGATGCTAAGAAACCACCTGTCAAAGCCTTTGCCTGACCCGACATGTACACTTGGTAGTCTGGGAAATGTGTTGAACTACATTGCCCAGTTAAGATGGTTAGTTTTCCTGTCACAATGGATACTGTGTATTTCATGTGACTTTTTATTCTATAGAAGATATAAGTGTATTTTGTGCTTTTGGTAAAGGCCATCAGGAAAAAACAGTATGTTTCTGTTGGCAAAACTGTGTGTGTGTTGTGCTCCTGAACACCTGCCTTACAACACCAGTCTCAGTAAGCACCTGCCCTCATCGGACAGTATGTCTCTAAAAGTGGATGTTGAGGCTCTCGAAAATTCTCCTGGTGCTACGTACATTCGGAAGAAGGGTGGGAAAGCTACTGGAGATAATCAACCAAAGGAACAAGGGTAATTAATACTTTTCTAACTCAAAGTATTTGTAAATTATTTTCTAAGGCTGATCTAAAATTATGTAAGAGACCTTGATGGGGTTGGGATATAGCTTCATTGGAGAGTGCCTGCCTTCATGCAGGAAGGAGGTGATGAGTTCAGTCTCTAGCATCACAGAACCTAGAATGGTGACACAGACCTGGACTCAAAGGAATCAAGAATTCTAGTCATCCTCAGCCAGTTTCTCCATCCTGAGCTACGTGAGACCCTGTCTGAAGACAAAAACAAATTTTGTAAGGAGTAAAAACTTCCATCTTATGTGCATGTGTTTGGGTACACCTTTCATGTGTGTGAAGAGGCTGGAGGGTGACATCAGTCATTGTCCATATTTTTTGAGATTGGGTCTCCCAATGGAGCTCACCTATTCAGCCAGCTTGGTTAGCCAGCTAGCCCTGCCTTGATCCTCTTGCCTCTGCCTCCCCAGCGTGCAGGGTACAGAGGAGTTTGCTCCTGAGCCCTGTGGCTGCTAAGGCTCTGGACTCAGGTCTTTGTGTTTGTACAGTAAACATTTACTGACTGAGTCATCTCACTGCGTGGCTCTTGTAAAATAAACTTCACCGTCTTCAGCCCTAGTACACTGATTAACAGTTCTCGGCTCTATCAGACAAAAGAGATGGTTTGCCTTCTCATTGTAGCTTTCAGAGTGCTCAGTGATTACGTTGAAGTAAATTACCAATTTCTTAGTTCCCTTCCAGGACCTGCTTCCCCTCTCCCCACCAATATACTTAGTAAACTGCTTTATCTACTATGTACTTGGGGCCCTGTCTTTAAAAAGAAAAAGTGCAGCATAAGTAAACAGTATCCCATCCATCCTTCTCCCTTCTAGGGCCATGACCAATGTAATTTGGTTTCCATATCCTCCTGAAATATTGCCTGTACCTGTTCTCTGGCAAAAAGTTTCTTGATTCTCTAAAATCTTGCCAAACAGTTACTCACTAAGGCATGGTAGGTTTCTGTAAGATAATGTAAGTAGTAGACCTCTGGTACGTTTAGATGCTTTATATACTACTCACACTACTTAAAAGATAGTTTGGTAACTTAGGCCTAATCGCTAGATCTTTCCAAAGAACGGATAGCAATTATATTGTAAGAAGTTTTATGTTAAGCCTAGTATGTATCATTTCAAGGGTTTTTTTTTCAACTCTTGGGGTATTCAAGAGCTCCCAGCACCAGTAAGAAGCCTTGAGGCAGAACTTTGTGTAGAAAATAGAAATTGCTAATAAAGTGGCAGCTATAATTATGGCAGTTTTATTTAACCTGGTATCAAACAGTAAAAGACACAGACACCTGATAGATTTTAGCTAAGCCTATTTTAGGGCAGGGCAGATATGAACCCCTAAACTGCCTCATTACCATCCAGCCCCACATCCCATGCCTTTTGCCTTAATCATTCCTATCTGGGCTATTCCCCATGCAGTATCTCTATAAATACTTACACATGTCCATCCGGGCCGCTCCTCTGCTCGCCAGTCCCAGAGTTCACTCCTTCTGGCCCAGGTGGTTCTTCACCTTTCCCATCATGGCTCTTCTTTTTCTCACACCTGTCTCTCCGTCTCTCCTCTCCCATGATCTCCTCCAAGCCCATGCACTTTGGCATGCCTACCTCATTTCTCTCCTGCCCAGGCATGTAGGCATTTATTCAGCCAATCGGATAATTTGGAAGCAAGGATTGCAAATGTTGTCATTTTGGGGTACATGAGTTTCTGCTCGTAAAAGCCAGCAAGTGGACCTCGGGAGGCAAAATGATTAACAGTACAATACAAAGCACCAGACCATGCCACTACATTGGAGTTTGAGATCAGTTTATACTACCTAGCAAGAGCCTATATCAAGAAAAGGGGCCAGTGAGGTGGTTCAGCAGATAAAGGCCCTTCGCCTGTTAGCCTAATAGTCTGCATTTTATCTCCAGAAGCCACATAAAGGTGAAAGGAGAGAGCCAACTCCACAAAGTTGTGTTTTTACTTGTAAACACCTACCGTGGCATGAGGAAACAAAGACCAATCATGCACAGAGACACACATACAGTAATAATTTGAGTTTTCTTTCCCCTCCTTGGGTCGTGGGGTATGGTGGGGTGGTTGGTTTTCAAGACAGTGTTTCTCAGTGTAGTCCTGGCCATCCTGGAACTTCACTCTGATGATCAAGCTAGCCTCTGAGATTGACCTGCCTCTGCCTCCACAGTGTTGGGATTAGAGACGTATGCTGTCGCACACCCCACCCTCACCTTCATACAGTAGAATTTATTTTTCTTAAGAGAAAAGTTTACAGTGTGAACTTGAATTAATATTCCAGTACCAAGTCTTAAATACACCTTTATACAAACATGCCTGGCTTGTTTTTTTAGACATATGTAATAAACTATATTTTATCACAATGATGATAATGATTCTCTATTTCTTTTAGACAGGGAGATTTGAAGAAGAAGAAGAAGAAAAAGAAAGGTAAGACTTTGAGGAAAAAAATACACATTAAATTTCTGTGTTGTTTGAGATAGCCCAAGCTGGCTTCAATGTCAAGGCATTCCTTCTACATCAGCCTCCTAAGTGCTAGAACCACAAATGTCCACCACTGTGCCTAGTTTTAGGTTCCTTTTTCAACAGTAAAAGTTAGAGTATCCCTAAATAGAACCCTCTCAACCTAGAAATGCTATCTTCTTCTGGTATTTTCAAACATTAATTTTTGTCTTGACTGTAACTAACATTTTCATTACAGTAAAGAGTGTTCCCTTAAGCGTTTGATTGCCTAAGTTCAGATTGCTATCATAGCAGTATTAAACTGTGTGACTCTGAACTTAAAGCGAATTTTTCATCTGTAATGGGATATGATCATATATACCTTAAGGAATCAAATGTTATTGCATGCCAAGCTCTTAAAAGGGTGCCTTACACATAGGAAGCTCTTTCACATTAGAATCCACAAATACCATAAAATTTTACCAGACTGGCTTAAGACAATTTACTGATCATAAAATTGATAGTCAAAATGAAAGTTACTAGCAAATTAATTGGTAGTAATTGTATGTCTTTGATCCCTTGTCCACAGAACTAAATCATACTAGAGTCACGAAGCCTTGGGGTAACACTCAAGGCCACCTTCTTGTTTAGGACAACAGAAAGTATCTCACTGAGCAAGCCTTACTCATTATATTTGATTCTGATTACACACATTAGTGATTATCCCTGAACCATTCATCTAGGGAATGCTGTGCATTGGTTGGCTCAGGCTGTGTTCTGCTTGGCTCCATCTAGTCAGAGGTTGTCCTTGAGGCCGCCACTTCTCGCTCCTTGGATTTAGGGGAAACCTGAACCTGGGATATAGATCAGCCTAATTCCTGATTTTTTACCCACTGACAATTTAGAATTTTTGATTTTTCAAACCCTAGTTAAATGAATTACCAATGGGTCTGTATGCTTTCTACTTTTTTGTTTTGTTTTGTTTTTTTAAGACAAGGTTTCTCTGTATAGTCCTAGCTGTCACCATGCCCATGTGTTTTCCAAGTTCTAAATATGTAGCTTTTGCTATTTTTAGTGGAGTTTATACAAATTGTACAAACTAATGTTTGTGTCAGTCCATTGTCTTCAGAAGTCTCATTTTTTCATTTCTTGTTCCAGTACTTGGGTATCAACTTACTCCTACCTTGTATATAGACATGGTTTCACTGTTGGCCCAAGCTGGCTTACAATTTGTGATCTTCCTACATTAATGTCGTATTTTTAAATTATTTTATTAGATAAAAAATATAAATTTTAAAGTTCTGGAAAATGCTCTCCCTTATTTTTTAAATTTTATGTAATAAATAAAGTCAAACTCTTTTGGTAAACTATACACAAATAAAACTTTCTCAAAGCCAGACATGGTGTCTCAAGACTTTAATTCTAGCACTAGGGAAGCTGATACAGATTTTTGGGGGTTCAAGGCCAGCCTGGTCTCCATAGTGAGTTTGGGACCCAGCAACGTTGCCTAGTGAGACACTGTTTCTAGACAAAGTTTTTCAGCAGCTGAATGTGGTACATGCCTACAGTCCCAGCACTTCAGAGGTACAAGGCCAGCCCCAGCTATATAGTAAGGTCAAAAACTGAGGGACAGAGTCAGACAGTGATAGCGCATGCCTTCAACCCCAGCACTTAGGAGGCAGAGGCAGGTAGCTCTCTGTGTGTTCGAGGCCAGCCTGCTCTACAGAGCATGTTCCAGGGCAGCCAGGACTACAGAGAAACCCTGTTTTGAAAAATCAAACACCAAAAAGGCCACTTATAAAAGTAGGCTAAACAAGATGAATATAACAAGACTGAGTATAAACTTGCTCTTTAAATGCTTAAAAACAAAAACAGACAAGAAAAAGCTTTCTCAGTCAAGTTTCAGTTATTATTTATTCCAAAGTTCCAAGGCATGAACACATTGTTTAAACAGACTATTTGAAACTCTTCTAGCTGTGTTTCTCATTTATCAATTGTTTCCAGGAAAGCTGCCTAAGAATTATGACCCAAAAGTTACCCCAGATCCAGAAAGATGGCTACCAATGCGAGAGCGGTCTTATTACCGAGGAAGGAAGAAGGGTAAAAAGAAGGACCAGATTGGAAAAGGAACACAGGGAGCAACTGCAGGAGCCTCCTCCGAACTGTAAGTTGTGGCTTCAGAACAGAAGTCCCTCAGAATATCGTTCATCTCAGAGGCTGACTCTGTGTTAGTGAGGCTTTGTTAATTTGCTGTATGAGAAATACAGTCCTACAGTCTTGATAAGTGTTTGCAGTATGTGAAAGGAAGAAAATGGAATGATTTGCTTACCAGCACTAAAACTGTGTGATTATATTGTTAAAAATATTGTTGGAGCCGTGAGAATGATCCATCATGTGTGAGGTCCCTGAGTTTAATCAAGCTAGTCCTGTAGACCACAAAATAGCCTACAATTGCTTTTAGTTTTGAAACTAAGATGCTGACTCATTTAACTGTGAGCTAACAAATGCCTAGAAAAAAGAATTTAAAATGTGAATTATTTCTACATGTCACTTAAAGCTGATTTTCTAAACTTACTAAATTTGGCGTGTAGCATATATTACATTTTCTTTAGTTATAGAATGGTTTTTAAATATTCAAAAGAAGAGTGGCAGAGACGTGGTGCATCCATCCTTAAAATGTGTGGGAGATTATGAGATGTGGTAAGGGAAATTCATGCACATGTATGCTTACCTCTTTTCCTGCATTACATTTCTAAATGACTAAAAATTGTTCTGGTCTGGTGATTTCAGGGATGCCAGTAAAACTGTGAGCAGTCCACCTACCTCCCCAAGACCTAGCAGTGCAGCAACAATATCTTCCTCTACAAGTAACATCGTACCCCCAAGACACCAGAAACCAGCAGGGGCCCCAGCAACAAAAAAGAAACAGCAACAGAAGAAGAAGAAAGGAGGCAAAAGTGGCTGGTGATGACAATGTACTTGTTGCAGGCTGTTCTTAATCCAGTGTCAGTGACATAGGAACATAATAAAGGTAACACAGCAGGAAGCATAGCACTCCCTCCTCCATCCCCATAGTCCTGAAATGCTTTCTTACACTTCAGTGAGAAAATATCCTCCTCACCAAGTAGCTTTACAGAAGACTGAGATGACAGCATACATGATCTAAGGTTTCCCAGGATTTCAATAGAAAGTGTTTCTGTTTCAACTCATGTGAAGACAGGCGTTTGTGTTAAGTCTCACCTTAAATTATGTCTTAGAAGGCTAAAGGTGGAATCTTCTGAGCATTCCAAGTATTTGTTTAGAACTATCATGTGATGAAAAGGGATCTTATTACTGAGTGGCCAGAAAGACTCACTGTGTACAATAATTAACCGTAAGTTCTCTGTCCTGTGACACTGGAATTGGGACTCTTTTGTGTGTATGTACATGTGTACACATCTGACTCCTTTGTACCCTTGTCGTTTTCTCAGATTATGTTAACATGCTGATTTAGTTCCACTGAAGACCTCACAGAAATGTATCAGTGTTCTAAGCAGTTGACTCTTAGAGCCAGTGTTCTGAGGGCAAATGGGTTTGGGCTTCTTAATCTGAACACTTAATGGCCATGCTCAAGAACATAAACTTGAGCTTCTTTATTTTAAGAGGAAACGGTATCAGGCCGTATTGAAATTTACAAAAGCGTTTGGCCCAGTTAGTACTCAGTTGGCTCCCCTTTCTAGTGAAGGGACATGACCTTTCATTACCCTTTTCAAAGTAATGGGGTTTGCAGTCACATGGTGGTGTCAATGTTGCTCTTGTCGTTCGTTGCTCGCAGGCAACCTCACACTCAGCAGTTAGGAGACACCTGGAGTGCCTCCACGTGGTGAGTATTCATTTATGCCACCGGAGATAGCATTTACTTCACACGTTTCCTGTGCCAGGTTACGCTGTCCTTGTTAATAAAGTGCTGCTGTGTTTGAGCATTATCTATTGAGCTTCTTCAGTGAGTTTTTATAAGGCTCCTGCTCTGTGAAATTAGAAGTGGGGCAGCTTTTCTGTTCTGCATAATCAATGTGTGCAGTGGCGTGGAACCATTTACACCATTCTCCAGAGGCCAGTCTTGCTGAGACTGAATAACCTTCTACAGGAATAATTGTCATTTAGGATTCCGTTACATCTCCTGTGGTTAAGGACAGTTTTTCAAGTTGACTAATGGAATCTCGGTGAAATATACTGGACTTTGAGAATTTTGATCCACGACACTATGGGGAAATACATACAAAGTACTCTTAGTTGGCATAGGAGCAGTTGGTATTGTCATTGCTAAGTCACAGAGACCTCATTCAAATAAGTTATTAAAGCTTAAACTTCATCTGTATTAACATTCTAGGAACTATTTTGGGGAAGTCTTTAGTTCATTTTGTGTGGTGTGGGGTGTGTGTGTGTGTGTGTGTGTGTGTGTGTGTGTGTGTACATTTATAAAAACCAATGTGGAAGATATCCACTCACTGTGTCGCATTTTTAAGTTTTAAAATAAACTCTAGCAGTGAATGTGAATAAAGCTGTTTCGGGTGTTGGCATTTTATGAAAGACTTCCTTATTAATATATCTAAGAATTATTTTTTAAGCTGAATATTTAAAATTATCTCCTGTCCCTTCCATCAAAACTATAAATGTAGTGGGATTGGGAGAACTCAGTAAAAAATGAAAATTCAGAGGCTAGAGAGATGGCTCAGCAGTTAAAAGCATTAGCTGCACTTCCAGAGGCCTGAGTGCGGGAACTTCCAGAGGCATGAGGCACTGGGAACAGTGCCTGCATGGCAGCTAACAGCTGTCTGTGCCTCCAGTTCAAGATAATCTGACACCCTCTTTTGCCCCCTCTGGCACTACACACATAATGCACATGTGTGCAAGCAAACTATTCATCAATATGAAACAATGTCTTGAAGAGAAAAGAAACCCATCCTTTTGGTATGTGCATCAGTGAACGGAAGCAAACCTTTTTGTAAAGTATGGAGCCTAGTATTTTCAAGACAAGTAAAAATAGCAAGCCTTAGAAACTGTCCCATCACTCAAGCCTTCTGGAACTTGCCATCATTCTTTACCAGCTGATTTGAAAAAAAATCTGATGAAAAAATTAATTTCGTGTAGAAACTAAATTTTTCCATATGGTGGGGGAAGAACAGGGTGTCAACATGCTAGCGTGGCATTAAAACTCACTGTGTAGCTTCAGTCTGGGCTTAAGCTCCAGCGGCCTTCTCTCTTGGACTCCCAGTACAACTATGCCCTGGTGTTACGCATCTTTTTATCTGAGCAGAAACTTAGGGCCTTTATGCATCAAGCACTGTCACTGACTTAAGCCCCGTTCCCTATAACTAATCTTGTTAAATTGTGAAACATCCAGGTCCAACTAGAAAATAAGAACCAAAGGTGCGTTCCTCAGCTACTTAAAGAAACATACCACCTCACTTTGGGTGCTTTACTACCTGCCGACCACGTATGACTAGGCTTTGGCGTGATTTGGTTCTGATTAGCTATCCTGGCTAGCTGTCAGAACCTGCAATTTCTGTCCTTAGCAGTCCTGAATAGCTGTGTTTTGTCCACTCCCAGTGGAATTAACATGGGATGGGGGCAGGGAGGTGTGTTATTTCTGGCGTGGTGAGCTGGGATGGGTGGAGAGGCTTCAAGGGACTCTGGTGCCCTAGGCATTCTTGAGGCCGACCGCGCAAATTGGAGATTGAAGAGGATAGCCGAAACTCTTAGAAGCCCTTTCTCCAACAGTGCCATATCGTGCCTTTGGGCCCTTCGGAGCAAGGGGTGCCCAAAGACCTGCTGCAACGGCAGTCCTTGCCTGTTTCTCCCAGCTCCCTGTGGAGGGTCACCAGATTCCCCGAGACAGGGCTCAATCCATCCTCTTTAGCAGCCTCTTCCTTTCGCTCTTCCACGGGCCACTCCCACCGGCCTCAAGTTCAACGAATCAGCTGCCAGCCCTAGCAGCTAACGAGAAATGCCAGACCGCCAGCTGCGCTCGCTGGGGTCTGCGACTGCGGTGACCTCGGGTGTGGCCTACGCCTTTTGAACCTACGTCTCCACCAGGAGCCCCACACCAGGGCCACGTCTGCCAGGAACCAGGGCCGCGGCTCGCGCGCTGGCGCGCGGGGGAAAGAAAAAGAACATCGGCGGTGGGAATGGAGAGGGGAAAGGCAAAGAAAGAGAATGAAAGTCATCTTCAAGCAGTAGGGAAACGGTAAAGCTAGAGAGGGATAAAAAGAAGGATGTGGAAGCGAAAAGCAGCAAGGAGCTGAAAGAGAGGAGGGAAGAGGAGAGAAGAAAGTCTAATGAGATGAAAAACAAGAAAGGGAAAGAGACAGGAAAGGAAGAAGAGAAAAGGAGGAGTGTAGACTCGAGGAGCAGGGAAGTCGGGAAAGAGAAGGGGAAGGAAGAAGAGAAAAGGA